ACCTTGTGGCTCATAGAAGGTAAAGCACATGGTTCACAGCAGACCACACTGAGTAGTCAACAAGGCCCAAATCTGCAGAGGTGGAAAATAAAATGTACGAACCAACTGCAGAGGGTGATTACTACAAGGGCAGAGACTTTCACTCTTGTTTCTTGAAAGATATTGCATATTAGTAGTCAGATACATTTGTACCATGAAAAAGCCAGCTGACAGTACAAAGCATTAGGCAAAGGGTGAGATGGGATTTACTGAATGCTCTGGATACCCAAATTTATAATCATGTCATCTTTTCCCCTCTGATAGAGTTAATAAATTGTTAATTATTTGCCATCAAGTCAGTTCTTACTTGTAGGAACCCTTCCTAGAGCTTTCTAGATGTAAAGTACTCAGATAGACAGACAGACAGACAGACAGACAGACAGACAGACAGACAGACAGACAGACAGACAGACAGACAGACAGACATTTAAAAGCTTAGAATATTCCGAGGAGTCCTGTGCAGGTGCAGTCTAACCCATTTGTGTTGATTCACAGATGACTACTAGAAGAACTATGGTTACAGGTAAATAACCTATATATAGGATGGGAGGGGGAAAGGGTACATAAATATATGAATACATATGCATCTCTCTCTCTCTCTCTTATATATATATATGTATGTATGTATGTATGTATGGAGAGAGAGAGAGAGAGAGATGCATATGTATTCAGATATTTCTGTACCCTTTCCCCCTCCCATTCTCCCTTTTCCATTCCCTGTGTCAGAGTCATATCCATATTCTTATAAGGCTTTCCTGGGGAAATTCTAATTATATTATGAAGACCAATAAATCCTGTATGCATCAAGTCCCTTAGTATCTATTCCATTCATATAAACAATAGAAAGATACCAGTCAATTGCAAAATAATCCAAGTGTTTTATCCCTTTAGCTGGAGGTTAATTTTTCCTGCAAGGATACTTGCCATACTCTAGAGCAGGCTTGTCCAACCCGCGGCCCATGGGCCGCATGCAGCCCAGGTCAGCTCGTAATGCGGCCCAGTGCAATTTTTTATTTTTAAAAAAATTCCAAAGTTTCAAGTTACATTGCTGTCGCTTGTGGCCGGAATGTGGCATGTCAGAACAGTAGAGGGGGAGAGAGGGAAGGAAAGAAGGAGTGGGAGGGGAGGGGACAGGAGGGCTGCGTGACTGCATTGCGCCATCCCTGTCAATAGGTGGACCCCCTCCCGGCCCCATAAAGCTGCCAGAGTTGAAGCTGGCAGCCTCTGCCCTCTGAGATCGCAGCTGCTGGTAAGCACGCTTGGAGCGGGGCTGCGAAGGATGGCTAGGGCTGACCCCCTCATGCGGCCCAAACCAAATGTATATGTGGCCCAAACCAAATTTTCATCTTCTAATGTGGCCCAGGGAAGGTGAAAGGTTGGACACCCCTGCTCTAGAGAGAATCATGCTGCAATTGATACTCCCTGGCATGTTTTTCCACCCTTTGGCTATAGTCTGTCTTCCTGCTACTAGAAGATGGCCTATTAAGGATTTATGTAAAATGCACTCTTTCTCCCCTAAGAAAAGGGAAAGAAATGCTAATTCCAAGGATTTAGTAATCAACTAATTTGTAATTTTGTTTACTTCATTTAATACCTCTTCCCCAAACTGGTCTACTTTTTTGCAATGCTGCCAAAGATGTTGAAACGACCCCTTACACTTAACAGCATCTCCAACACATAGGTGACACTGCAGGGCTGATATGTGAAAGTGGGAACAAATACTTTTTTGAGTATTTTCAATGCAGTCACTCTAGCTGTAACAGAGGCCCCTTTATACTGAAATAGACCTGTATAAACTGGTTCTTCTCCCAGGAGGCACAGTGAGAAGTCAAACCCCTGACTCCAGCTTTGCACTGAGCTATCAAGCCAGCTCTGAAGAGCCTGTTGCAGATCAAAAAATTGAGATTTACTTGTAAGTGAACAAAATAATTTAAAAATAGTTGTTTGTTGACACTCCTTCATATGTAAGTTTTACTCCTGTCTGGCATGCTAAGATGTAGGTAATCCTAAAAATATTTTAAGTGGTTTGATTACAGAGTAGTCTGCAAAAGCTTTTGATAATTTTATAACAACCCATATAAAGGAAAAGGACAGAAGGACTAGTTCGGATTGTGCAGTCTTCTATTTGTAATCATTCCACATGTTTCTGTCTTTCTTTAATTTACCACCAAAAATCTGCTAAGGAAGAGAAGATTGAACATCTGCTTTCATGGCAGTGCTAGGAGCCCTTAAGTCTGAAAGCAGTTTCACTGAAGGGCAGCTTCCACATTTGTGGATGAAAAGGAAACAGAGTTCAAAGAAAACTTGAACTGTTCACCTATAGGCTGTTCTCAGATACTAATGACCTGCAAAAATACTTCTGTGTCAAGCCTATGGCTGACTTCATTAGTAGAATAGTCCATAGCAATGCCCCACCAAACTTGAACATTCTCTTCTGGGATTCTCAAGAATTCCTTAAAAAGTTATTTATCTTTGAAAAGCTGATCTTAGTACAATGAGAGCAAACCAGAAGCTTTGCACAGCAACACTGTTTTAAAAAAAGTCTTGTGAAGGATCTTACATTCCAAGAGGGTATATTCTATCCCTCTCTTCTTCATTAAAGAGCAATGTGTTATTATGTACAAAACTTATCTGATAACCGGATGATCTCCCTGCAATTAATTGTTCGTTAACAAATTTGCATCAGTATATTTTTTTCAGAGTAGTAGGAGATCCAGATTTGGGCCATACTGTCCTACATTTGAATCCTGGCCCTATGGCTGTTCCAGGCTGTGCAGAATTTGGGGGAGGCAGGATGCTGGCGGCAGTGTCTATTTTTTTAAGTCTATCTTCTTGTATTCCCTCCATTTGAACAATTCTTCAAGCTGTGGCACATAATTAGCTACACCTTAGTGGAGATAGTCATATGATTCTTTAGGAAGTCAGTACAGGGTTTCCTCCCTTATATTGAAAATTGCTGATGCCAGGACTGAACTATCGGACCATTTTACCCTTCTTCTTTTCCCCAACTGGTTTTCCAAAATCATAGATTAAAATGAAACTTTACAGGAACAGGACTGCACTGTATTGCACCCCATACTATAGGATAAGAGGGAACGTGCAGGCAATCTTCACACAGCAGCAGCAGAGTTTTGCTGTCCATGCACCAGCCAGCAAGACAGAACTGCAGAAGGACAAGGGCGTTTCCTGCTTCTTGTTTGCTGCCTGTGGGCATGAATTAGAACAAACTGGAGTAGAAGACTTATTTTTGTTGCTATGTTTCACCATTCTTCTTGGTGTGGGTGTGTGTGGAGGGGGGGAGTAAGTAAAGAGAGCAATTGCAAGCAAGATATTTTCCAGCCCTTTCTGCAACAAGTGTCTCTAAGTACACTTCAAACCAAGACTCTTCTGCCTCTCTGCTTATTTTAGGTACACCACCACCACCACCCCAAGCAGCTCCCTGGCTGACCTGCCATATGTTGCAGCTGCTTCTGACAGGGCTTCCTTCGCTGGAAGGGGCAGGGTTCACCCTTGAAGAGGGAATGGTGCGTCCATAGCTGCCTGGCAAATACATACCAAGAGAATCTGTGCTTCTGTTTTCTCAAACTCTGTCTCGTTGAGGGCACCTAAGTCATGATCTCTTCATACTAGGCTTTGACCTGCAGCATGTTCTTTCCTGCACTGCTAGGAGCAAATTGAGGGACAGTGGCTGATGAAGGGGCAGGGGCATTTAGCTTCATTTGCACACATCTTATTTGTCACATATAAAAAGCCACATTAGGCATTTCCACTCTGCCCGAGCTGTATTTTATTTGAAGGGATGCAGGGCAGAAAGAAGATAGCTCACATGCAGTGATGAAGAAGGGAGTCCTGTTGAACTTAATGGAGCTTACTCTGAGCAAACGCGCCTAACGGATGGACTGCAAAAATGGTACAACGTGGCTTTTTGTAGATAATCGGCTGCTTCCTCAGATACCTGAATGGCTAACAATCTTATGATTCACTGGTTGCCATACAAAAGGTCCCCAAATCTGCAGACATCTCTGCTTCTATATTTAAAGGATCTCTCTGTATGCCTAGCTAGTCCACATCTGCTGTATTTTAAAGTGTGTTAAAGATGCCCCCCTCAATCCTAAAGTAATTGTTTTCTAGGGTATTTTTTCTGTTTGCTTCCTATCTGTTTTTTCTTGTTTTCTTTCTGAAAATGTGCAAGAGAGTGGAAAGAGAAGTAGGTAGCTGATGTGGCTGCCTCTTCTCTGCAGCAATACATGTTTGCTTGTTTTTAAGAACAACCCTCTAGACCTCCTTCCTTGCTTTTCTTGGGCCTTTTGCTGTGGCGGCACTTCACACCTGGGATGCTTCCTCTTCCTCCTTCACTTGATCATTCTGATCATTCCGAGCTGTCATAGACTATCTGGAACAGCCCCCTCCTCTTCTACCTTTCCCTACTCTTCAGCCACTGCCAAGGCTCGATGAGACATAGCATGGGGAAAAAGGGGGGCCATGTAAAGAGAGTAACGGGAGCATCTGAACACCTAGCATATATGGCAGCAGCAGCAGCAGCTCAGAGCATGAAAGAAGAAGCATGAGTCTCATTTCCTCCATTTGCAGCTACAGAAACTGCAAGCTACCTTTTAAAGCAAACAAAGCAGAAGTGAATGGAAAGAATAAAAGTTAATGTGGTGATTTATTGTTCTTCATGTCCATTTTTGATAATCCTTGTCCTTATTTTCCTTCTGCATGATGCCTGCACCACCACCCCTTTAGTGATGCATCAGTGACCATCCTACTTTTTGATGCATGTTTCTTACTTATAAAGTGACATTCAAGGAACCAATCTGACACAACATTTAATTCAGGAATACGGAACTACAACCTGACCATATCTCACATGAATTCAGCTTTGATGGTTGAAACAATTTTAAACCGAGCAAAAATGTATTGGGTGGCAGAGTAAATGCATCATGTTGATTCTTACTTACTGAGCACTACTGAGACATCTGCTTTATTGCTAAACTCCACAATGCAGCACCGCTCCAGGGTTACTAACTCAGAGGCTTCAGAATCCTGTAAAAGAACAAAAATAGAAAAGGCATTCAAATTTGGGACCCAATCCGTTCATTCACTTTATCTCACAGTACAGGAGCAGGCAAGGTCTGGGGGCCAAATTCACAGCAAAACACAGCAAATGAAGATCCAACAACTTTAATCAATTAATCCTCATTCAAAGAGATCACATTCTTTCTGTAAGAGAGATACAGTATATGGGCTTGTCCCATAATATGACAAGATCGACAGCTGTCTTGTTTAAGAATGAATGTTTGTCATTTGAAGGTAAGCTGCTGTTAAACAATGAAGTTCAATACCAAGCAATTCTTTCTATTGCTTCAAGCAACCTGGTCCTGGTGATGGATATATACAGGTTACACAGGGTATGTACTTGTTTAAAAAAAACTAATTGCAAATTTCCCACTAAATAACATTTTCTTTCTTCTTTTTGAAAAGAGAAAGAATTTTGACACCAATGACGCTAGTCTTTATAAAGACAAGGCTATAAGTGGCTTTCTTGCTCTAATGTTACTGCTTTAAATTAAATTAGCCTTTATAACTATAGTATCATATGATCAATCCCTATAAAAGGGAAGCACCAAATTTTCTATATATTTGTATCATCAACTTTCTGCCACACTTTGGATTTAGCAGCTGGACGGCATAAATAATTTACATGATTTGTTGAGAAACAATATGACAGTACAGTACTATCAACTCATTTTGGGGTTCGTATTCTTTTATTTGAGCTTCGCATAGGTGATTTTCATTGATGATGAATTGCAGATGGATGGACCAGTTTCCAAAATTGATTGTTAAAGTTGCTGCCTTGATATAGTTTTTAGGGAAAAACACAAATGTTAAGAAATATTTTCAAAATTTACTCTGAACTATTCCCTGGTTCAAGAGGTCTGCTAATTCTCACAATTAAGCTTTAAAAATGGATCTGGAAAAGTGACTTAGCTATGAGTTTCTTCAAGCCAGAGCAATCTATTACCTCCTTTCCTATTAACAGCCAAGCTATTAATCTATCGTTTTCATTATAACATAAGTAGCTTTTATCAGCAAATCATATTTCTTAGAACATCAAAATTAAAGAGGATATTATTTTAGAAACATAAAACATTTTAAATTAAAGAGAAATCAGTATACTTCCAGGTTTATAAGGTTAAAAATACCTCACTGTTGTCAATTATTGCCAACCACATTCCACAGATGAGTTTACAGTATCATGCCAAATATTAAAGCATAAGCAAAAAGCAATACCTCGAAGAGGGGAAACTAGAAACCTAAACACGTTTCACAGATGAGTTTACAGTATCATGCCAAATGTTAAAGCATAAGCAAAACGCAATACCATGAAGAGGGAAAACTAGAAAACATATTTGTGTTCTGTAAAACATGAGAATATTAGGTCGAAGCCTGATGGTTAGTCCCACCTAGAGAAAAACCCATTGCCTCAATGGACCACAGCAGAAACTAGCAGTTTCCTCCTTTCTCTCTGTTGACTTCTGTCTGGTCATCTAGGGAAACCCAACTTGCAGAGTGTGAATTCACAATGGATCAATATGTATTGTTCCTGCTGTGTAGTCATACCATTAGAGCAACATGATTATAGTGTGGTGGAATAGGACTCAGACCACTTCTGTTTAATAATAGGCCTCCTAATTACCTTTTCTAGAAGGCTAGAAGACACATGACCTGGCTAGAAGTTAAACAGTGGCACTGGTAGATATCACTGAGTCAAGCAGGCTTCAGATGGATGTTATAACAATGTACCAGTGGCACTGGTAGATATCACTGAGTCAACCAGGCTTCAGATGGATTTTATAACAATGTACAGTGCTGCATCGCTTTACGATTGCCCCTCATTGCGACAAATCTGCTTTACGACTATCTTTTTGTGATCGCAAAACGATGGTCTAAATGGGGGAATTTCACTTTTCAATGATCGGTTCCCTGCTTCGGGAACCAATTCCTCGCAAAACGATGTTTTTCTAACAGCTGATCGGCGGTTTTAAAATGGCCACCGGGAGCTTAAAATGGCTCCCTGCTGTGTTTAGGGATGGATTCCCTGCTACACAGGCAGTAAAAATGGCCGCCGTATGGAGGATCTTCACTGGACGGTGAGTTTTTACCCCACTGGAACACACTGAACGGGTTTCAATGCGTTTCAATGGGGTTTTTTTATTTCACTTTACGATGTTTTTGCTTAATGGTGATTTTCCTGGAACGGATTATCTTTGTTAAGCGAGGCACCACTGTAAACTGTAGGGTGTTGGAAAAGAATCCATGAAAGAAAAAATTAGAGGTGAGGAGGGAAAGACGTAAGAATATGCTTCTTCTCAAATGGCCTGGATAAAACCTCTCCACCCAAGATCAGTATCTAGGTAAAGATTCCCCTTGACAAATTGTCCAGTTGTGTCCGACTCTAGGGGGCGGTGCTCATCCCCATTTCCAAACCATAGAGCCAGCGTTTGTCTGAAGACAGTTTCTGTAGTCACATGCCCAGTGTGACTGGACATGGAATGCTATTACCTTCCGACTGAGGTGGTACCTATTTATCTACTCGCATTTGCATGCTTTTGAACTGCTAAGTTGGCAAGAGCTGGGACAAGCGACAGGAGCTCACTTCGTTGTGTGGATTTGATCTTACGACTGCTGGTCTTCCAACCTTGCAGCACAAGAGGCTTCTGTGGTTTAAGCCACTGGTTCTTAACCTTGGGTTACTCAGGAGTTTTGGACTGCAACTCCCAGAAGCCTTCACCACCAGCTGTCCTGACTGGGGTTTCTGGGAGTTGCAGTTCAAAAGCATCCGAGTAACAAAGGTTAAGAACCACTGGTTTAAGCCACAGAGCCACCACGTCCCTAAGATCAGTATCTAGGAGTGTACTTTTGAGTGTATTCCCTGTGAATGAGGACAGCAAAAACCTATCCTGCTTCTGCTAAAGATTTAAGCTATATTTTGGAGGTCAGGTTGAAGTTGCTTTGAAGTTTGAATCTCTAAAACATGTATTTTGTTTGACTGTATCTTTCAAGGGTTTTTATATTTGCTACTGATCTTAGGCTTTTGGAAACGGCAAACTATAACTCCAAACATAAAAGCACACATTAAGTCCACAAGTACTTCTGTCCACCAAGGAAACCCAGAAATCTCCCAAAGACATTACAGTCATGGACAGTTGCAATAAGATTTAATACTGCTGTGGCATAACTTTCAGATTTTCTCCTTGTACTCTAAAATAAAAGAGCAGGATAGCTAGGATGGACATTGAATATGGTCAAAGAAAGGCAAAATGTCAGATTTTTTTTTCCTAACTTCCCTTCATCTGCCCTGAAGTGTCATGGAAAAAATGTTCTGAAGTGAAAAGGTAGAATTTTCCCAAGAGGCTTTTATAGAACATTTTGATGTCATCAGGGGAAAACTTCTACCCAGAGCTGCTTCAAATGCCGATGTAGTTTACAACCAAAGTGAGAATCCTCTGCATTTTTCTCACAATGGATGAACGGTACCTTCTATATAGTACCAAATACTATTTTTGAAAAATGTAATGATATACATCCCCATTTCTGCATATTTTGCAAGAAATATACATCTGAATAAAAACTGTTGAGAAATGGCACTAACTGATACATAAGGGAAACAACACATACTCCCAGGACAGCCAAAGAACAGCACTGATTTAATGAAACACTCCAGATGCCTAACCACATACTTTCATTTTTATACAGGCGTATGAATGTTTAACCCCTTTTAGAAAACTGTACGATATGTTTGGTGCACCTTGCTGAGGGAAACAGTTTACATTCCCTCAGTTAAACATCCGAATAGCTTATTGAGTTTAGAAGAGGGGCAGGATGACAGGTCAAGGGCACTTGAAGTCAAAGCGGATCTCACTATCAATATATCTCTGCAGATAGAATTGCCACTGGTGGTTCCTCAATGTCCAATAGAAGTTAACTGATTCTCAAGGGCCTTCACATAAAGTCTCACTCTCTCACTGAATGCATGAGCTAGAAGCAGAACTACATTAGCTAGTCACATTCCCAGACTAGTGTATTTCCTTGGCCATGTCCCATCTACAAGTTCAATTTGTTATGTGTTCGCGAAGGCTTTCAAGGCTGGGATCTAATGGCTGTTGTGGGTTTTTCGGGCTCTTTGGCCGTGTTCTGAAGTTTGTTCTTCCTAACATTTAACCAGTCCCTGTGGCTGGCACAGAGTGCTGGAGAAACGTTAGGAAGAACAACCTTCAGAACACGGCCAAAGAGCCCGAAAAACCCACAACAACCATCAATTTGTTACCTTAGTCTTCATATACAAAATGCAAAAACAGAAGAGTTATGCAAAGAAACATTACACTGAGTTGTATCACTAATCTATAAACATTGGCATTTATTTGTTTGTTTGTTTTATTGGATTTCTCACCTACCCATCTAGACTAAGGTCTACTCTGGGCGGTTATTACATTTATGTTCACATAACTAATCTATTAACAATTATTCTTTCAAGACCATGTTCTCTGTGTCACTTCTCAACATTGTGATAAATGTAGTAAGATAAGGAATTTCATACCTGAATTCAAAAAATATTTTCTGCTCTGGTACTTTTTCCAAAGGTTTTGAGAAAGAACCAATTCTCTTCTATATGAATAATCCATACTCTTCCAATTAATGGCAGATTTTTTTCCCTTATATGCCTGCCAATAATTAAAAAAAAACAACAGAAAGGATGGAGCAAGCCTGACCTCCCTTTACAGGAATTCCTAAACTTAGGAACAGCCACATTGCTTTATATACAAGATACCTAAGTCCTCCTCCAAATCCAATCTTCTAATTTAGTTTTCATACTAGTTTTTCAGTCACTGAATTGTGAATCTGGCTTCTCATATCACTGTATTGTTGTTGGTAGCCCTGCAGACTGATAAAAGCAACTAACATTTATACTTATCAGCTTCCCTTTGTGAGAACAGGGGCATAATCTTAGAAGAAACAACTGGGATCTGGGGCTAAAATCAAAC